GAGTTGACTGCATAGGAACTACCACTATGACCTGTAAACGCCTGTATTTTCGAATCACCCCTTGTAAATACACCACAGGCGGTAGTATCACCCTATAGCATAACTTCTACTTTTGCTCACAACCTCCACACTAGCTAGGGGAGTAGAAACTAGCTCTATGCCTCTTACTACTTGTAATAGCAGTATTATGGGGGAGCCCACTGTGCCCCCCACCCCATGTATGCTTCCTACTTAATGCAATAGATTCTCCTTTTAAACCAAAAAAAAAACTTCTTAGTTATATATATATATAAGGTGTGAAAAAAGTAAAAAGTATTCTTCCCATATTCTTTTATTGTGCTGGGTTGCTTTTGTTAATCTTTGTTGTTTCTGCTCCTAGTTTATACTAGAAGTGTTTGTTGAATCCTGGGGATACGCCTAATTTTATTTATCACGGTGTGGACGAAATATCCTTAAGGACAGTGTCAAGCTTAGACAAATTGTATTCTTCATAACCTATTTTTACAACAGTAAGCAGAAGTCTTGACTTTGACTCTCAATGAAAGCATTCTATTAATATTTCTCTGTATTATTGTATTTTTCCTTTGTTGTATTCCTTTGTAATAAATACAGTTGACAAACTATTATTACATATAGTATTTAGACTCTAAACTGTAGTGCTTTATGAAAGTTCCCTTAATATAACCCACACCCGCAACCAATACAAGACACTCGAATACCATCTTACAAACCAACGACTTGCTTTCACATTACAACCAATCAAATGGATGTCATTAGTTAGTCATTAGGATAATTAGATTTATCTCTTTCCTTCAATTCTTTAATCGTCTTTAAACTTATTAATTAAAACCAGTATGATTAGGATAATTAAGAAGTTGGTTTAACGTCAGTGTAAGCAACTGCTCCATTTTGTTCTAGAAGAGCTATTATTATATTGCCAAACTGCACTTGGCAAGCCAGCTGTTCAATGATCCCAGATGTGCCTAGCATAATGGACGAAATTAACAACATTTTTTTATTAACTAACTATTATCTCGAGTATTTTTGTCTAGACTTGAATAATTCCTTAAAGATGCTATAGAACCAAACAATTCCTAAAGGACGTAAGTCAGAAGTTCAATGTGTCCACATGTAACCATTTGCAAAAATTAATGAAGAATTAACCCAAATAACGGCCAACTTAATTTCTTAAACTAAAAATAGTAGACAGATATATAATATATGTATGATTCATGTATAATATGTGTTTAATTGTGTATAATGAATATACAATTTATATATACCGACTCGACAAAGAAATGACAGACTATTTGTGTAAACTAAGTGACAGCTCTTTGTCTTGAAGTTTTCCTCTTCAATCCAGACAATTATCTTTTTCTTTATTATTCCACTTTTGGGAATAAACCATAGATGTAAATTAAGCCACTCTTAAAAAACATAGATGGGAATAAGAAGAGAAAAAAGAGAGAGAAGAAAAATAATATCTTGCTGGGAAAGGTATGGTTCAGCTGTTAATAGCAATCGAAAATGGCAGCAAGTACATCACTTTTGAAAGCTTCTAATAGACTCACCATATCCTAAAAGATATGTAGATACCAAATAATGAAAAACTACATATGAACTAACAATTATAATTTGATGGAAGTTCCATTATTAGTTTACTACTACATATATATATATATATATATATATATATATATATATATATATATATATATATATATATATATATATATATATATATACTGTCATAATCATGTGGCGTATATATTCTGCTTATCTGATATAAACTACTCCATCCGTTTCAATTTATGTGAACCTATTTCCTTTTTAATCTGTGCAAAAAAGAATGACCCCTTTTCTTATTTGGAAACAATTTACCTTTATGTAATGATTTATAGCCACACAAAATATATGTGCCCATTTTGCACCACAAGTTTAAAATTTTAATTTCTTAAACTCCGTGCACAGTCAAATGGTTCACATAAATTGAAACGAAGGGAGTATCTAAATTCTAATCCTTCCGATTTCCTCCATCCGTTTAAATTTATATAATGTAATTTAATTTAGTGCGCAATTTAAGAAAGAAATTTTTCGTAACTTTTGATTTTAAATATATCGTGAAATTGCATGGCATTAAGGATAAAATGCGAAATTCAAGATAGAATATTTGTTTTAGGAACGAATTAATAAGGAAATAGTGCAAGATAAAATTAAATGGTGGGAATAACATAATATAGATTATTTTAAGCCGAAAACCAAACTACCACATATATAATATAGTATCATGTAAAAACCATGGACACTAATTTAAGAATAACGAAATGAAGAATCAGGTACTGGTCAGACTAATAGATTTATTTAATTTATAAATTAGATATGCTAAGTAAGATTAAGAGAAATAATAAATTGAGAGTTGGTAAAATGTAAAAGTAATGTGTAGTTTAAATGGAGCTTTCATGTGATGGAGTTTCTCATTGTCATTGCTTTGAAGCTTCTTTATTTTTGCCTTTAATTACTTCCATTAATTCGTGCCTCATTGTCACCTTTGCTTAGCATTTACAGCTAGACACTCCTATCCAATAAATCACCTTACTATATAAACCCTAAATTCTCCTCACCACTCAAAGTTCTCCATATTACTCCAAAACTTTCTTCTAAAGTTGCAAAAAAGCAACCAAAAAAAAAAAAAAGTCTTATAGAACAAAGGGAAAGAAATGGAGGGGTTGATCCCATTAGTATACAAAGCAATAGTAGAATACAAAAATGCAGGTAGGGCAACATGGATAAATGAATCGCCTTCAGCTTCTTACATGAGACTTCCAGGTGATTCAGGTCGTTTTGAAACGTCAGATATTCAGCTTTTTGGACATGCAGATACTAGGTTTTCGACAACTTCATCATCGTCACCTTCTGCAACCACTGTCACCAAAAGAATGGTCTCCGGTGGAGTGCAATCGCCGGCTAGGTGCCATCGGATTTCTGCTCGTGCAGTTAAGTGATCATGATCTTTATGTTGAAGAAGAAAAACAAGGTAATATATGGTGGACTTAAATGATTGTAACAAGAGAGTTGTTTTTCGTGTGTGACAAGCTTCTTCTCTACTTTTAAATTTCTTTTGATGGTTTCTAGTTTGGTGTAAGTTTGAGGATAACCAAATTAAAGGGACCTCAGACTTATGATTACTTTGGTGGTTTGTTTGTAAGTTTGAAGATAACCAAAAGGGAACTCAGACTTTTGCTTTTGTATGTGTAATTTCAAAGTGTAAATATTGGTTATGTTATGTGGTGTATGTGTGATAAAATTGTCATAATTTCTATTCATTCTTCTATTGTTCATTTGAGTATTGCATGATTGAGTCGACTATATGTATTATACACCACGAAAAAATAAAACAGAGCTAGCTTTAGTTATAATAGTGCTGGTGATTTTCTCTTGTTCAGTACTCTTGCTGGTGTTTCCCACTAATGTGAGGAATAAATTCTGCTCCAGAATCAACTACAATTGAAACTTAAAAGAGGCAAAAGCAGATTGAATGGCCCATGCAGGTCTCGAACCTGCGACCTTCGCGTTATTAGCACGACGCTCTAACCAACTGAGCTAATGGGCCATGATGTCATGCTCCTGGTCCTGTTTAATCAGACACATATCCGTAAGTGAGACTGTGCGATATTAAGATCTAAAAAAGAAAGAGAAATTTGTGAGAAATGTACAATAAGTAGAGTTCTTTTTACTTACAATAAAGAAAAACGATCTGATACTTAGACAATAACCTTGTTCCACAGTTCTTGGACTGTAAGCTTCACTTTTCCATTGAAACTGAACTTTCTTATAAGTAGTAGATATAACCTTTTCATCCAATTTCTAAAGTAGAATATACATCCATTTATTGGATTCTTCCATCTACTAAATTGCTAATTTGGTACGTTTGCTGCCACGATCTTGCCTGACAGCTGCTAAAAGAGTATGCTTCAATGTCGACGGGCTTATTGTCTCCTTCTCTTAATCAAAAAAAAAAAAAAAAAAAAACGAGGGAGGGATCACTTCTTTGACAGTCGCTAACCATCCAACAACCCAAATTCAGTTATTTTAGTTACATTAAATGCTCTTTTAAATTGGATAAGAATTCTTTTAGTTTATGGCCGCTTCTCATCTACAATAAGAGAAAAGGCTTATATGCAGAGGTGGAGCTAGGATATCGGCCTTATGAGTTCTGAATTTTGGAACGATGACTTCTAATGTTAATATTTTTACACACTTAAACGAATTTCTTAATACAAAATGCAATATTTGAGCACAAGCTATTGGGTTCGACCGAACCCGTAGCTCGGCTTCTGTCCCTGCTTATATGATTGTTCGGCCGCATAAGAACCCCATAAGTGTTTGTCGATAACAAGAGATCAATGCTAAACATGTTTTAGATCAGATTGAGTTTGAGGATTAGGGTAGTAGAGTAAGTAGTCTAGAGTATTTATAACAGTAGTATTGGCACGCAGCCTCGCTTTCTGTTGGTAGTAGGTTTTTATGACTGACCATTATTTTTTTTTCATTGTTGATCACCTTACTATCTTGTTGTTTCTATTCTGCTTTTATATGGCTTTTCGGTCTGTCCCTTCGTGTTTATATTTTCATTAATGTGGTGCTTATGCTTTCCTGAGTCGAGGGTCTATTGGAAACAACCTCTCTATCCTCACAACCAGACCTCACAGTGTGGAAAAATACTAGATATATTGTTGTTGTTGTTGAGTTGAGCCTAAAAATCAATGAGGGGTTGTTCCTCATCTTTGCAGCAGAGAAGAAACACCATGCTATGGATAAAATCTACAGCTACATATAGGTGTTGATCTCCAAAACCAGCATTCTCAAGCCAAAGATTATCATCTGAATAATTATTTACCGTTTCATATGCTACTTTCTGGAAATTAAACTAGCTAGAGAGTAAACGTTTCAATTCAAAATGTCCAGGGTCAAGTACTAGTAAAAATGTGCAGGACTCATACTAGATCTAAATGTAATTGAACTGCAGTAGATTAGAGTACAATTAGGAGGTTACAATTTACACTCAGATCAAAATCGAACTTGAAGAACACAACAGGAAACCGCGTAACCTCAAGCAACTCAACCAGTGCAGAAGAAACTCTTATCTCTTCTGAATATCGATTGCCAAGGAAGATACGGCTACAAGCTCGTGGAAATTAGATTTAGATGTGATGTGTCCTTGAAAGTCATTTCAGAAGCAATCTTCTGAGCAGAGAGAAATGCTCTCACATCATCAAACGGCAGCTAGAATCCAAAACATCACGTGGGAAGAAATGGCAATAAGAAACCAGGTTATGAACGCTAACACCACAGAGAGCTCAAATCTACCACATGGAAGATAGGGTGGACTACTACAGAAGTTTAAATCTTTTGAATACAAAACAGCAATCCCTGCTGACGAGCACGCAGCTGCAAGTGATAGAGTTGCAGTAACCTGCAATTGAAATCAAGCCATATAACATGAATATAGTTAAAATTCATGGTCAGAGATTAAGATTTAATGTAAAGGGGATACAGCACAGTTATAACGCATGTAAAAGATTAAGATTTCTAGGATAAGATATATGCATTATGGAGAGACAAAAAAGAAAAGGAAGTTCTAAAATGATGTTGAGACGACAAGATTATGGTCAGAGAAAGCCAAAAGGGAGGATCTACTTTTGAAGGTGGGAGCCGCACAAAGGCGACCAAGCTACCCTGGTTAATTCATGTATAAGAGGAGTTTCCGCAAGGAAAAAGGCACATGATCAATGGAATATCAGTGGCCTGCATGGAGCATGTCAGAATTCATACAAGGTACTAGTGACAAAAGGATGTTTGTCGCAGTGAAGGGGAATGTCTGGTGATGATCATGGCGACTATCAAAGAATAAAACTTTTTCAGCACTCAACTGCAGGAAACATTGGTTTACAGTACAGGGAACATTCTAAACTTTATTTGGGTCAATGACACAGACTAAAATATCAGCTGCTCGTAACGAAAGAAATGGTACTTAAAGATTTACATGTTTGCAAATAAACAAGGACAAGTAGCAAAGTAGGTCAAAAGGCTATCAACGCTTCCAGTGAGGGGAATCACATCATCTATTACTTGGTTAAAATTTTGAAGAACAAGAAAATATAAACTCTTTTAGGGACAAAACATGAGCTAGAAAACAAGAATGAGGAGGATTGAAAAGAACAGAGAAGGTGTTTACAGTTGTACATATTCAAACACATCCCATAAGCATGAAAGAAAAAAGCAAACAAAAGATACATACCCAGTCTCCAACAACAAAGAGGCTCACTAAGACGGGATTTTGAAGGTCTCGTTTTATCCTCAAAGCATAGATGTCTAGACATGCAAGCCCAAAACTCCACAATACTTGAAGTCCCATTGATGCAATCAAATAGCTGCAAGATATGCCAAGTATTCTAAGAAAAAAGAATAACCATGAACAAAGAAAGATATGTATACTGAATGGAGGCAGTGATCTATGTGGTTCAAGAGGGTGATGGAGAGACTGAAAATATTGGCTTACATTGACGCAAAGAAGGATTTAAAAGAGCATTATTGTACATTTACATGAGAATAAATATGGAAAAACAACTCAGAATTTCAGATAAATCTGACATAATGGGCAAGCTGTTATCCACAGAGTGTCAAACCATGTGCCAGCTGGCCCTCTGGGATATCTCGGTTAACAGAAAAAATATGCCTAGGTCTGAGAAATGTAAAGTCGAGAGTTAGGGACCAAGCATCGGTATACATGAAGGTCCCTCATCAAGTATTATTCAAATGCAAGGATATCCACATTTTTACCCTCCCCTTTTTGCTTTGGTACAAGATCCCTTTCGCATTGCAGGGCGCATGCTTTCACATGTTTAACGTTGCTGTATAGAAGATGGCAAAGTTAACAGCCAGCCATCTCTTCTGGCAGTTTTAGATTAGATAGGGCGTGTCTCATCAGGAAAAAATGAAATTAAATAGGTCTGCTCAGATGAAATAAGATATATTAGAATGCATGCACATAAAGTCCTAAGTTAGAAGCTAGTACGCATATTATACGCTACAATTATTATATACTCTACTTGAATGTTCATTAAATTCTTTCCGTTATTTCAATGGGACACTCAAAACTATTTCATGAAAAGTGGACTACAGTACTTATTAGTTCCACAGCTTAACTAGCTTAGAGGAAAATTGGATGTTCAAACGCAAACGGTGAACACGCAACTACTCCCTCTGTCCCAATTGTGATGCACTTCCCTTTCTAGTTTGTTCTTAAAAGAATGATACCTTTCTATATTTAGAAGAAATTTAACCTTAAATTTCTTATTTTACCTTTAATGAGATGATTTATAGCCAAACAAACCACAAGTTTCAAAAATTCTTCTTTCTTTCTCAAAAACTCCGTGCTCAATCCAAGTGCATCACATAAAATGGGATGGAGGAAGTAGTTACTACCCCGATTCCGCTTTGCACCTATCCTTTCTTCTATAATTCCTTCAGTTTTCATAGATATCAAATATAAGTGTATAAGGAAAGTTTTGAACCATCAAAAACCATATTGTTGGTTAAACATAGAATTATGTGATAATGCAGCACAGATATAGAGTCAAGAGTCATTGAGCTAAACATAATCAAGAGAACCACAACAAGGAGCCAATTATCCCATCTTGCCACTTAACAACAACAACAACAACAAAAGATAGCTAGATAATAGACAACAAACAACAACAACAACAACAACAACAACAACAACAACAAACTCAGTGAGTTCCCACAAGTGGGGTCTGGGGACGTAACGTATACGCATAACTTACCCCTACCCCGGGAGGGAAATGAGGCTAGATGAGAAGAAGCATAGGCCACAAGTAATAACAACAACAACAGGAAATAAAGATAGCTAGAGAATAGACAAAAAGCTAATAAAGAAAGACATACCAGAAAGCAGTGTAATTAGAGAAACCAGAAGCAGAAACCATGACCCCAATTGAGCTACCTGCAAATAAACATTGCCCAAACCTCAATAGCAACCCACTCACACTTCCTGGACTTCCCACCAATTCCTTCATCCTTGTATTACTTCTACTATTCTTATTTTCAACCAAATACTTATCAAATTTCAGACCTTTAAGCTCCACATAGCCCTTTAACCAAAAGGGCCCTTTCAACCCTAGATCCCTGTACTTTCCCCAAATTCAACAACCCCATTTTACCAGATTGCTGTGTATAGATCTTTACATCTATGTCTGATTTGATGAATAGATGATTAAAGATTGTATCATCCAAACAATGTACCAAATTGAACCGTTGAGCTAAAAATGCAATTAAAGAATAATTTGATGGTTTTATTTCATACTTTATTGTATATGGTAGCTAGAATAATATAAATTAGTACTCTCGACAAGAATGGACAGTAATGGCGAAGCTTTGTACTCATTTTGATAATGGTGCAGTCTGGCCCGTGGGAGACAGTCCAACGTGGCCTCGCTTTATTATACTTCTCTTTGCTTTTAATCTTCTTTTGAATAAATTGCACATTCATCCCTTAACTTTGCGCATATTTGTCCTATAATTTAAAACATTAGGTAAGTCTTCCATAATGTATAGTTTTATTTAATGAATTTATATTAATCAACATGTGAACGAATTTGTACCTTATGCTTAAATTTTAGTATTTTCCTTACTCTCATCTGGGGTTGTTCATGGTTCGGTTTGGATCAATTTTTTTCTTAAAAGAAAGCAAACCAAGTAAGTCGATTTTTTAAATATTAGAACCAAACCAATTAAGTCGGTTTTTTCTCGATTCGGTTTATGTCGGGTTTTGCCGGATTTTCGATTTTTTCGTTTATTTGTCGGTTTTTTTCTTAAATATAAGACATACACTACCAAACACATATTCCGGCGACCACATTTTCAACGTAACTATCAAATCAATTGCCCTTTGAGAAATCTATTATTTACCAAGATATATTGATGATAATTGAATCAAATAGTGATGAATAATTTAAGGACTCAATTAAAAATATATTATTTTTAACACAAAATGGATTCTTACACTTAACAAAAGAAAACTACCAATCAAACTAGAATGTAAAGGTAAAGAACTATACTAAAAGTGCAAACTATTAACATTTACCATTAAATTTTTGAAACTTTGTATAAAAATATACATATATATAGGTGTAATAATAAATTTGAAATAGCTACTCCTATAGTCGGTTTGGTTTGGTTTTTTTCGGTTTTTTTTCTGATTAAAACCAAAACCAAACCAAATTTGATCGGTTTTTAAAATTCAAAACCAAAACCAAATTAAACCAAAAAGTATCAGCTTTTTGGTCGGTTTGGTTCGGTTATTCGGGTTTTATGAACACCCCTACTCTTACATTGTGAATGTAGAGATGTTGTTCTCGATATATCCTCAGCTCAAGAAAAGCATAACCACAACAGTTTAGATGAGGACATATTGCAAAGAAGAATCCATGTAAAGAGAGGCAATAACCACGGTCCAAGTACTGAAGCCATATTGCAAAGAAGAATTCATTGCTCACACACCTCCAAAGCCACCATCACAAGTACTGAAGCCACTGCTGCCTTTGGTTTTATTACCATGGCAACTCATCTTGTAGCTAAGGCAGCAACATAGGACTCCTATTAGTAACATGAATCCTGTTGCTGCAGCTAAAGCCTCACCCCAATACTTCACAGAATTCATTTTAATTATTTACTATGTATTTTGGATATATCCTCATCACCTCCTCTTGTTAAATAGAGCTAGCTCATATCAGTTTACTTTCTCTGGGAAAAGATATTACTCCTAGTAGTTGGAGAGGAATATGGAGAAAGGAAAAATTTGGGATCTTCTGCGCATTGAAAGTTAAATGGAGATTCGCGATTAATATTTCCTCGATTCTATTTTGTGTGACATTATTTTTCTATTAATTTATTTCAAAAAGAATGACATGTATTTATATTTGAAGTGTGATTTGACTTTAAACTTTTTATTTTATCATTAATGAAATACACTTTTACATCCACAAAAGTCACATGACATGAATAAAATTTCAAGTTTCAAATGTCTTTATTCCTTATTAAATTTTGTGCCAAAAGCACTACCTCATAAATTAAAACAGACAGAATAACACATAAAGTCTTCGTTCAAACCTAAATATAAACAGACAGAATAACACTTAAGTCTTCGTTCAAATCATAATATATCACGACTTCAATTTTAATGCTTTTCTGACTATAATATCTGGTTCAGTCTTTCTGAAAAAACCCTTTTAACTATAAGAAAACAATGTTCCCTTCTTCAATTTCTAATCCTCCTTTTGTCGGGAATTTTTTTCTTGAAGAATTAAGATTTTCTTACGTTTATTGGTGGCCCAATAAGTGTAAGGCCCATAATTAATATTTAATTAACGAGTAAATCTCATCCGTCTGATTGGTTACTTGATGGACGTACCGGATTAAGTGAGAACCTCTGTAAATTGGTCGTTTCCCCACCCATTAGGGTTACCGTATTTTTCTATTCTCTCTTCCATCACTAAAGTCGGCAGTAACAAAAGCTAGGGCAAGGGGCGAGAAACCAATTCCAATTAACGCTTCCGCTTCGTGATAATGGCTTACCATTCAGGTGTGTTTTCTGTAACAATTTTATGTAAGATTATCATATTCAAGATCACGGTATGAAATTAAAGTTTATGTTTACATGTGATATCATGAGCTTGGAACTTAGAACTAATAATCTTCATAAGTATTATTTACGCATAAAGCAGAGAATTAGGATGACTTGCTCAAGCCCTCGGAAATACTATAGTAAATTTTAATTGATAGTCAATTCAATCTTTCGAATCAGACAATTAGATTAAATTGTTTTGAATAATGAGATGTATTAAAATGCTTGTTTCTTAGTTCATCCTTTTCAATGAAAATAATGGATTGGAATTTAGGTTTAATGTGACTCTAAATTGTTGTCTGCTTATGGATGACTGTATCTATCCGTATCGCCCTAGATTGATTTTATACATAATGTTTGTATTTTATTTAATGTTATATTCTAGGTCATAAAGTAAAGTTACAGATCTAAAATATTTAGGGACATTAAGGAAATAAAGTTTATTCCTAAAAGGTTTATGGGATGCATAAATTTCAATAGTTGCACGCGAATCTCACCTAATGTATCAACTGTGATTTGGTTCTTGTGTTGTATAATAATTGATGTATGTGTTTTAAAGCTATATAGTTTGTTAGTCACTAAAGTGATCAAACTGGAATATTTAATATTTATACATACATCAAATTCATATTTATTTTATGCATCTATTAATGTGTAGAAATGGCGTGGGGTAGCCACTGTTTAACTGGTATTTACTTTTTATCCAGCATTTTTAATGCTTAGCAATAGTAGCCACTAGTCTATTAAAATTAGTATGAAAAGACTGTGCTACTCTTTCCTCCCCAAACGGAAATACACTGATGCATTCAAAACATAAAGACTTCGTATTCTCTGGTGTTCTCTTGGTACAAATCGCTGCTATGTCGAAGCATGTTAGAAATGGACCTCAGTGGACTTTTTTCGGATATGACATTTTATGGGAGATTTCATGAAGATTTTAGATTCGTCTCTACTTTTTTGTTTAAAATTTGGCTGACGTTGAAGCTATTATCTTCTGCCATTTCTCTTGTGGCAGAATCGGTGTGCTGATTATTTTTCTTTCTAGTGAGTCTAATGTAATAGGGTTTATTTGCTCTTAGCTCCTTGAATTTATTTTTAGATCTAAAAGTTGTGAAAATAAGAAAAAGAGTGATGAGTAAACAGGAAATGCAATTCCTTCCCAGAAGTTAAGGACATGTAGTCCTGAAGTCCTAAAGTTAAATTCAAAAGTTAAGGACATGGTCCTGAACTTAGAGTTTCAAGTTCAAAAGTTAAGGAAATGTAGTCTTGAAGTCCTAAAGTTAAGTTCAATAGTTAAGGACACAAGTTCAAAAGTTAAGGACAGGCAGTCCTTAACTTACAGTTACAAGTTCTAAAGTTAATGACAGGCAGTCCTTAACTTATAGTTACAAGTTCAAAAGTTAAGGACATGCAGTCCTTAACTTACAGTTACAAGTTCAAAAGTTAAGGACAATAGGTCCTTAACTTTGATTTCCAAGTTTAAAAGTTAGGACATGCAGACCTTAACTTACAGTTACACGTTCAAAAGTTAAGGACAAGCAGTCATTAACTTACAGTTACAAGTTCAAAAGTTAAGGACAATAGGTCCTTAACTTTGACTTACAAGTTCAAAAGTTAAGGACGCTTGGTCTTGAAGTTTGAGTTCCAAGTTCAAAAGTTAAGGACATGTAGCCTTGAAGTCCTGAACTTAGAGTTCCAAGTTCAAAAGTTAAGGACATGTAGTCCTGAAGTCCTGAACTTAGAGTTACAAGTTCAAAAGTTAAGGACATGTAGTCCTGAAATCCTGAACTTAGAGTTCCAAGTTCAAAAGTTAAGGACATGTAGTCCTGAAGTCCTGAAGTTAAGTACAAAAGTTAAGGACATGAGCAGAAGGGTATTTTCGTCAGGGCAGTTAAAGTTTATTAAAGTAGTGGCTAAAGACTAAAGACATTTTAAATGGTGGCTTAAAAGTAAATACATGTGTTATTAGTGGCCAACCGTGCACTTCCCCCTATTAATGTACATATATTTTTTTAGTCACCAAAGTGATCAAACTAGAATGTCTAAAATATTCACATGCATAAAATATTCTGATATTTATTTATGTGTGCATTTATGTTCATATAGTTTGTTAGTCGCCAAAGTGGCCAAACTAGTATGTCCATGAAAAATATGCATACATAAAATTACAGTTTATCCATGAAATTAATGAAATGCTAATAATTAAAAATTAGTGGATAAATTAATTTTCACTACTACTAGAACTTAAGGATATACCCAAAGGTGAGTCAATTATTCTATGAATAGTGAATATAATGAAGTAAAATTAATATTCTTTAGTCAAATATATATTGTTTGTCCAAAAATGGCATATATATTTGGTTAAAAATATTTAATTACCTATTAAAGACTAAATGACATTCAAATTATGATAGTGTGTCGTAGTAATTTCCCAAAGGAGAACTACGATATACTTTTATTGTTTTACTGAATCCATATTGATTTGTGAGCATGTATTATCTATTTTGCAGCTATTCCTCTTCATTTGCATGCTTCGTCTGTTACCGTGTTCAATCGATTGAACTTCTCTTAATGGCATGAACAAGTCCATTTCCACTTAGGTGTAATGGATCTTGACTTGGCTCTGCTAAATGATAAGCCCGCTGCCATTACTAATACGAGAAGTGCGGATGAAAAGTCTTTCCATAAAGCATGGGAACGCTCTAACAGGCTGAGCCTTATGTTTATGCGAATGAGTATTGCCAACAACGTTAAGAATACTATTCCACAAACATAAAGTGCCAGGGAATACCTGAAGTT